TATGTAAAATTATTATAATATTATAATTTAAATTATAAATATTAATCAATTAAACTTAATTAATTTTAATTAAGTATAATAATTTTTTTAATTTATCTTAAAAAATATTAATTAATAAATAAAAACTTAAAGAATATTTATATAATTAAATGTATGTTTTAAAAAAATACATATAAAAATAATTACATAAAAAAATATTGATAAGTTGTTTCGCTAACTCATACTTTTAATAAAATGGACTAAGACCTGTAATATATATATCATAATTATAGTAAGTCAACTTATCTTATCTCAATTTTTGAGAAATCAGAAAAAAACAAACCAAAACAACCTAAATTGTTTCGTTTTATATTTTTAACAAGTATATACGAAAAAAAGTTATTATGAAAATAAAATATGAGAATGTGTGTTTAAATGAATAGTTTTTATTAGAGATAATTTAGTTTTATAAAAATCTAAAATACTTATAATGAAAGATATTATTTGGATAGAGAATTAAAAGAGAAGTTATAAAAATATATAAAATTAATTTAATTATCTAAAATTAGAGTTTCACATAAAAAATAAAAATATAAAATTCTATATACTTTCTATTTTTTAAATTATATGTCTTTTATTTATATATATATTTTTTCTCGTATTACTGGTTCAATGCGGAAGTATATCTGTTTGATATCGTCTTCTTATTAATGTTGACAGCAATTTCTTTCGAGTTAAAATTGACATAATTATTTTTCGGTTCTACGATATATATATATATATATATATATATATATATATATATATATATATATATATATATATATATATAAGTAAATTTTGACTAAAATAATATCACGAAAATTATTATTAATTAATATTTTTACTTATTAATTTACATATATATATATATATATATTAAATGAATAATAATTGAAATATTATATAATTTGTTTGAAATTTAATAGACTTTAAATCGACTTGATCAAATAAAATATTTATAAAATAAAATAAAAAAATCGAAACAAAACCTTAACTTTGAGCCAAAGCTTGTGTGAGGGAAGTAGAAAGCCGAAAAGCACTTTGATGAGGTAGTAAAAAAATAATAAAAAGTTTGAAAAATAATGAAAGAAGAAGGGAAAAAAAAATTTCGGAAGCACGCGAGGGCTCTAATCCTTTGATAAAAAGAATAAAGATGACAAGATTGACCTCATTATCTGATACTTCACCCAAAAGTCAACAGAATAAAAAGGCTAAATCACAAACAATTGGTGGTGCCCAATGCATTACGCTATTGCAATCCTTTACAACAAGCAAGAACTTCGTGCCAGAATCTGAAATCAAATCATAACCACTCAACCATTCATAAATAATAATAGAAAAAAATGTTCTTTCACATCGCTTTTTATTAATGGAACCTTCGCCAAATTAACTTACCAACTTCACATCGTATAATTCTAGATTTCTATTTATAAACTGTGTTTGCTCCAGGGTCGTTATTTCTCTAAGGTTCTTTCAGATCGGATAAGCAGGCGAAGCTTTTCGAGAAGTTGTTCTAATTCTGCATATCTAATTCTAGACAAGTTGTATATTTATTATTAGAAGATTCATAACTCAATTAATTATAGGTGACCATTTTTTTAATTGATCAGATATTTCATTATAATTAGAGTTTTTATTTGATATCATGCGTAATTCAATCTTAGGAAATCAGTTAAGTTAAAAATTATTCTCACGCACCTATACATTATCTTATATTTAGTCCATATGAAATTTTATTACACCTTTTCGTATTAAAAATAATTTTTCATCGTTTGAAAAATATTTTTTTCATCCTACACCTTCGAATAAGTCTTTATCATTTAGTGATTTTGGAATATCGGAGAATGATTAAGATAAGAATCATATGAAAATAGATTAACACATCTTATATCATTTTGGTAAATTTTTAAACTGTAAAATTATTGTTTTATCTAAAAATGAGATTTTTCATTTTGGAAGTTCAATTCTTATGTTCAAGATATTTTTTTTTTTGAACTTTTATTTTATCACGATTTTATCTTTAAGAGATATCTGAGTGACTTAATAGAAGAGAGTGTTTATAAATTATATTTGATCTTCACTCCTAAGTGATTTTGATAATTTATATACACTTCTTTCTAAATCTATTGAAATCTCTTTTAAGGATAAAATCCTGATGAATTAAAACTAAAAAATGGATAATATCTCGAACATGATAATTGATTCTAATGATTATAATTGATTCTAATGATTTTATTATAACGGATGTGAGACGAAACACTCTAATTCCTAAATGGAGCAATTATTTATGAGAATTTTATACTTGAAAAATTCTACAACTATTATGTATCTAATTAGAGTTTTAATGTTTCACAATTTTTTCCTTAAATAATGTACAGGTAAAAAGAGTATTTATAATTATTTTTAGCCTCATGTTGCAAATGAGGTAACATTTATAAAGTTTCAGCAACTATCACCAATCTACTATTTATTTTATAAAAACTTAATTATCCTATTTTTATTAAATAATTAAGGGAGATAACGACATCTTGAATTGATCTATACATTTATCACTTTTAAGTGTGAAAGTGAAAACTCGTATATTATTTAATTATCACTTGTCACTTGATTTAAGTGTAAAAAAAAAAATACAAAGATAGAACATGAATTGAGATAACCCTATTTAGAATAAAGAATAATAAAATAAATAGAATGATTTGTTTTAGAAGTAAGTAATTGAAAATACATGAAAAAAATATATAAAAGAAGTAAAATACGAGTCTTATTTAAAATAATGGCCTTTATCTTAAAAATAACTATTTTCTTTAATATTTTATACCAATAATATTATTAAAGAAATTGGGCTTTGTAAATTTTGGGATCTTATAATGTGTTGGATAATGAATTTTTAGAAAATAATTTAAATTTATGAAATTTTTGAAATGTTTTGTGACAAAATATTATTTAGAAAAATAATTTTTAAAAATATTAAAATTCTAAAAAATTATAATACTAATTTGATTATTTAAAATTTTATGAAAAAAGAAAGATAAGAATTTAAAATTTTATGGAAAAAGAAAGATAAGAATTTAAATTTTTTTATAATCTCTTATGTAAAATTTATATCTCTTTTTTCCTAATTCTATTTTTGGTTTGGTCTATATTGAGAAATTGATGGCTCAATTTTAGGTGGGGTGTCCGTCAGTAAAGGTCGAAACACATTTGAGTCGACATAGTTTTTTTATGATATAGAGTGTTTCTTTCATATTAATCATTATTATTTTTTATTTGTTAATATATTTTTTTCTTATATAAGTTAATGTTATTTCTTGGTTAAAATTAGTAAAAAACTTATTTATCAACTTTAATTGAGATTTAAAATAACTTTTCTCTTATGTTAATTTAGATTAATTTGATGTTAAGTGAGATTGTTTTTCAATCAATTTTAATTTTGATTTTTTTCAACCAACATTAACACTGTAATTTTTCGAGTAATGTCAATTACTTTTTTTATTGATGTAAATTTTTTTATTCAATGCTAATAAATGTTTTTTTTTTATTAATATTGTTAGGATTATCTATGAATCAATGGAAGTCAAATTTTTTTTTTTTTGTTGATATTGGTTAGAGTTTACTTGACTTAGTATCATTGTTACTAATTTTTTTAGTGGATGTTAACTTTTTTTTAGCTGAAAATTTTAGTGATTTTTTATTATTTATATTTATAAGAATTACCTTTTAATTAATTATGTGGTGATAATTTTTATATTTAACTAGTGAAAATATATTTTTTAAAGATTGCGTGCGTCCATATTTTTTATATAATTAATTTATTTTAAAATATTATTTTAAATTTTATTTATTTTCATTATTTAAATATATCTATTTTTTTCTCACTTTTTTCATATTTTTACTATTTTATATATAATCATAATAATTATTTTTCTTTAAAATATAATATTTGTATTTGTTTCTTTGACTATAATAGAACGGTTAATCCCCAATATAAATAGACATAGATGATGAATAAATATTCAATCAACATAAGAAATTTAAATTGAATTTATTTGACAAAATGAAATAAAAGTAATTTAAATTCAATATATTTAAATTTGTACATATTATATATATATAACACTTGACAAACTTACCTTGTAGAATCATATCAACGCGTGATGGATTAAATTAAGTTACAAAAAAAAAAAGAGAGGCTAAAAGATTAACATGCATAAGCATGTGTTTGTTACAAGTAACCACACAATGTTCAATAAGTGACTTCAGTTTTTGTTTTCACGTTGTCCGTTTAATAACAACAAACTGGTCAGTTAAATTAATTCAGAAGTTAGAAGTGCTTAATACAGAAATAGATTATTTTAGGCTGCACTTATGCAAAACCCTTACACATTTTCACGCTTTTTTCCAAACCTTTCAAAAAGTCACGTCGGGTATATTCTATCATAGAATCAGTTATGATAGTGTTTCCACGGTTTTCAGAATGTTTCACCCCACTTGCAACAACTCATGGTGCCTCAAAACTAGACGTAACCACGTTCCTCACTCTCCTCCACCACCCCTTGTTAATCTGATAGCGTGATCAGCATGCAAGAGAAAGATGATTCTTGAAGCGTACAAATAACATTGCATGGCACAAAAATTGTGTCACAGGGTCGGCACCTAACACACAATTCTTAAAAAAATACAAAAGAAAATTTCTCAAGTTTCCTTAATTTCTTTCACTTATTATTGAATCCTTTCGCTTCCATGCTTGAGCAACATAAACACATCCTATAACTGTTCTCCACAATTCTCTGAGTACGTGTCACGGCTTGGTATCTTCATGATTGCTCATTGTTGATGCCTATAAGGAACCTTTAACTTCCTCATTTTTTTTATTGCTTTTGTTTTCTTCTCACTTGTTAACTTTCATTTCCCTATATAAAGCCTCCTTGGTTCACTTCTCTTCCCATCTTCCATTGAGTTGATTGATTCCAAACACAAACATGGCAATGAAGAAGCTCTTGTGGGTTGTTCTGTCTCTTTCTTTGGCTCTTGGAGTGGCCAATAGCTTTGATTTTCATGACAAGGATTTGGCGTCCGAGGAAAGCTTGTGGGACTTGTACGAGAGGTGGAGGAGTCACCACACGGTCTCGCGAAGCCTCGGTGAGAAGCACAAACGGTTTAACGTGTTCAAAGCAAATGTGATGCATGTCCATGACACTAACAAGATGGATAAACCTTACAAGCTGAAACTGAACAAGTTCGCAGACATGACCAACCATGAATTCAGGAGTACCTATGCTGGCTCAAAGGTTAATCACCACATAATGTTCAGAGGCACGCCACGTGGGAACGGGACCTTCATGTATGAGAAGGTTGGTACTGTTCCTCCCTCTCTGGATTGGAGGAAGAAAGGTGCTGTGACTGATGTAAAAGATCAAGGCCAATGTGGTAAGCTTATTCACTAATCATAGAGCACAACCTAGGTTAATAATATCTGATAATTTAGCTTTTGATCGGTTTAATGGCAGTTCATGATCTATGTAGTTGTCTAATGGGATAAAACTGTTGTTATTGAGTGAAAAGCTATAAGGTGGATTTGGTATAATCACATTTTTTTGTTTTGTCACGGATATGTTGGACCAGAAACTAGTACGGCTTGCTACAAATTGAGTTGATGTGCTCATATAGGCTATACCTTCTTGTAACATTATTGTTTCTCGTGCAGGTAGCTGCTGGGCGTTTTCAACTGTTGTAGCTGTTGAAGGCATTAACCAAATCAAGACAAATAAGCTGGTCACCTTGTCTGAACAAGAGTTGGTGGACTGTGACAAGGAACAAAACCAAGGATGCAATGGTGGGTTAATGGAATCTGCTTTCGAGTTTATCAAGCAGAAGGGAGGCATAACTACAGAAAGCAATTACCCTTACACAGCACAAGAAGGAACCTGTGATGCATCAAAGGTGCATGTCAAGCCAAACTTTCTTTTTTAATAAAACCAATATAATTGACAGATAACTCAAGGAACCTAAATTGCAAAAATCTTTCATGTTGCAGGAGAATGATCTAGTTGTGTCAATTGATGGCCATGAGAATGTCCCTGCTGACGATGAAAATGCATTGCTTAAAGCTGTTGCCAACCAACCTGTTTCTGTAGCCATTGATGCTGGGGGATCTGATTTCCAGTTCTACTCTGAGGTAAATATCTAATTCGCTTATTCAGTGCAAAGATTTCAAAATTTGTTAGAAGAAAAACATTAGTTACCAATGAACATGTTCCAATAGGTAGGCTGCTATAATTTTTTACTAGTTGCTGTTAACATTGAAGCAAAACAGTGTATCTTAATTTTATACGAAACCTACTGCAGGGAGTATTTACTGGTGATTGTAGCACGGATCTAAATCATGGTGTAGCGATTGTGGGGTATGGAACAACTGTTGATGGGACTAATTACTGGATAGTGAGGAACTCCTGGGGACCAGAATGGGGAGAACAGGGTTACATAAGAATGCAAAGGAATATATCGAAAAAGGAGGGACTTTGTGGCATATCCAAGTTGGCTTCCTACCCAATCAAAAACTCCTCTGATAATCCAACAGGATCTTTCTTATCTCCAAAAGATGAACTTTGAAAGCTTCCCATAGAATCAAACTCTCATAAGCCTTGGTTGTTGTTTTTCTTGTGTACCTCAGATTCTATGCTAATGTATCCATCAGTATATTATACCACACAGAAAGAAGTATTTTAACTTGAGTTGAGTGCTAGCATTTTCTCATGTACCCTCTCTTCTATAGCCAGTTGAATACAGAGTGATTAAAACATTTATATAAATAGAAATTGATCAACTAGAGTCCAGATTGCATATGATATGATCAGTTTGAAGATACACCATGACATTTTATTTTGTATAATACTATTATATTGGAACACACAATAGATGGCTGATAGAAGCCAGACATGATGAAATGTGTAGCAAGCAAGTGACCATGATCCATCCATCATCACCCATAGCACCTGATGGGATCAGTGCAACCTTTCTCGGCTGACTGTTTGTTGCATTCACCTTTTCCTCCACCCTTCTCCAGATACTGTCGATGGTATTCCTCTGCTTTGTAAAACCTCTTAGCTGGAAGTATTTCTGTCACAATCTTATCCTTCAACTCCAACTGTTTTGCTTCTTTCGATTCCTGGGCTACACGAGCCTGGGTTTCGTTGTAGTAGTATATTCCTGATCTATACTGTGCACCCACATCATTTCCCTGAGATTTATACACATTAATAAACAACTAAGAACATAACATGTTTTGAGGAAGCAGAATATAGCTCCCACAAAAGACAAAATTTATTGGTGCTTTTAGTATTGTTTCTTTGTGATGAAAATTGATGTTCTACATCAAAGGCTTCCAAAAATCAAAACATTGTGACCAAAACTGTAGGCAAGAACACGTTGTAATAGTTTTCCTAAATCAAATTCCAATAGGAAAACATCACCTAAAATAAGTAAAACAACTAAACCCAAGTCTTTCACACCACAAGTATACATACCCTAAAATTATAATCTTTTGTTTATATTGGCGTAATTTACGTACCTGGCGGTTAATTGATGTTGGGTCATGTCGAGACCAAAAGAGGGCAAGCAGATCCAAATAGGGGCAAACCTTCGGGTCAAACTGAACCCGAACAACTTCAACGTGGTTAGTGGTTCCGGTGCAAACGAGTTTGTAATCTGGATCCGGGGTGTGACCCTGAGTATATCCAACCTCGGTTTTCACCACTCCCACAATTCGCTGAAAGGCTAACTCGGCGCCCCAGAAACAACCCGATCCGAACTCGGCGAACTCGTGATCCGGACTATCCGGGTGATCCAAATCCGGGTCAAGAGCAGGGTTGTTGTGACCCCCATCGCCTCCAGTCGTAGCCATTGTACTTCTCCACTGGAGACACAGATTGAGGCGTTAAGTAGAAGGAGTAAAGAACAATATTGATTGTTGAGTAATTAAATATTAATTAATTAATTCATTAATTGCTGATGGATGAAATGAAACGTTGCTGTGGAGACTAGGAACTGGACAGAATTTGAAAATGAAGGTAGACTATAAAATTGGATGGGTGCATCGTGACATTGATTGAAATGCATGGATTCACATTTTCTATGATTTTGTTGCATTGGTAAATTTTGGTATTGGCTATTTGCCTGCTATACTTGTTTTCCTATTTTCCTTTCATTCTTACTTTCGATCTGATGAACGTGTGGATGACCTTTCTTAGTCAAATCCTAAGGTGAGATACTATGAAATAAATCCAAACGCAGTCTCCCTGTGAGCCACTCAATAAATTTGGCTTCATCCTATTCATATATTAAATAAATCTTAATTTTTAGGTTCGTCGAATATTAGGTCGTGTCAATAAATTATTTTGGTTTCTTTAAAAGCATAAAAAATAAATAAATGGAAAGATAAAAATAAAAAATATATTTTTAAAGTTAAAATCATTTCACTAAAATTATTTTTTATCTTATAATTCAATATATAAACTAATACATATTAACATTATAATATATATTTTTTAAATCACTTATTAAAAGGTTGTACATAAATAAATAAAAAACACTTAATTAACTAAATAAATTTATAGAATGATTTTATTTGAACTATCTTTAAAAATCTTGAATAAATACTTTTGGAAGTTCATTCATATTTTAATTCATGATGATTTTATGTTAATAAAGAAGTGTTTATCTAAAGAAAAAATTATTTTCACTTATAAGATAAACCATCACTTCATTTAGGTTATGTATCTTTTTAGTCTAATTTAATTTATTTCTTGAATCTTTTAAATTCATTTATCGAATTAAGCCTATTTTGAGGTCTTTATCAATAACTATTACTTATAAGTCTTGTTCTAAATCAAAAGTTTCAAAGTACTACGCAGAAAAAACTAAAAAGGCTAGCACAACTTCCCAAGATTCCACAGAATTTTTCCGTGAAACACAACCTCCATAAGAAAAGTAACGGTAAGGTTCACCTAATAAAGTTCTCCAATATTCACAAAATCCTTTTCCAAATAATCATAGAACCATGTTTTATACAACATTCACAAAATTCTTTGACCTCTAAAAACATCCATGAAAATTCTTAAAAAAAGTACTAATGGAGAATAAGGAAATGTTAACATAACCGATATGATGATAACTAGTACAATCATATTAAAGATAAGATATGAGCCTATCTAATGAAGAAATCGACTTTGTTTCATGAAGAACAAATGTCTCCTGTCACCGCCGTCAAAAAAAGAGGCAGTCGAAGCGACGCGATGATTTCGACCCTCTTTGATTTTCACGTTTTTTATGGGTGGTTACAACGTCCTTAGGTTGTCCGATAACCGGGCTAACCTAGAGACGAGGTTTTCGAAAAGTGTTATTGGGTTGTCCAATAACCGGGCTAACCCAAGAACAGGTTTTGAAGGGTTCGTGGAGTCGCCACCGATGTTTTTACCGGAAACATCGGAAAAGGAGTTTAAAAAGGCGTTGGTTTTCGAAAATCAACTTTGGTCATTAGAACCAGAGTTGGGTAAGGGAGTTAGTTATGTGTAAAGGAAGTGTTAGTTCCTTTACGACGCCCCTTTCGGGTTCCCTATGATGGGCCGACTACTTTGGATAAATAATTAAACTGGAAAATTGCGCTTTTACCCTTTTATTATGCGGTATTTAAAGATTATGACTACATTGCCCTAGCGTCTATTGCATAATTTTAAATGAAAGCGGTAAAATTAGAAAGAGAGAGGGTGCACCTCCAAAGCAAGCTTTTTGTATTTCTCTTTAAAGAGTGGGTGCTTTTTGGCAACCCTTCACTTTACAACTCTCAGAAACTCCGGAAATGCCTCAGAGGGATTCTAAAGAAGATTTAGAACGCTCAATTTATGCCTAGAGACACTCAGAAACTCCGAAAATGCTTCGGAGGGGTTCTAGAGAGAGAAAATCTAGAGAGAAGGGAGAGCTACTGTGCTTGGTGTGTTCAAATGTGGGGGGAAGAGCCCCTATTTATAGGTTTTCGCGCCTGATAGTGGCGAGACCGGCGGTCTCGTTTGACAGGGTCGAGACCGCCGTCTCGACCATGGCAGGAGGTCGAGACCGCCGTCTGGAAAACCCAGACCGCTGTCTCGTCCTTTGCAGTGGTGAGACCGCCGTCTGGACAAACGAGACGGCGGTCTCGTCCCTGGCGTGAGGCAAGACGGCGGTCTGGACATTCCAGACGGCGGTCTCGTCCCTTCAGGGTGAGAAACTTATTTTTCGGGCCAAAAAACCTTCCTATCTTAGTACGAGAGCCTAATAGTCTCTCCTAGTGGCTTGTTAGGCTTCGACCGTCTTCAAATAGGAAGCCTTCTGACTTTATTCTGAGGTCGGGCAAGATTAGGGGTCTACAGCTGCCCCTCCTTTACCCGATCAGTCGACTGCTGACCTTTTGTGCCAAGGTGATCGACTGGAGGGTAAACGAGTTGACCCTCTTGCCCGGTTTTCCTTCAGATATTTCGTCTTTGTGGCGGATGATCTTCTGGGGAGATGTTGTGTTGTGCGCTTCCGGGATGCTCCTTCGACGCGGTAGCTGACCCCTTCGGCTGATGAGTACGAACCCCCATCTGGTTTGACGAGTACTAACCCCCGCCCAGTAAGCCCCCTTTTGTAAGGCCTAATGAGTTTACGCCTCCATCTGGTGTTTGACGAGTACTAACCCCTGCCCGGTAAGCCCCCTTTTGTAAGGCTTGATGAGTTTACACCCCCATCTGGTGTTTGACCTCCGGATGCTCCATCTTGCGGTAGCTGATCCTTTGGTTGACAAGTACGAACCCTCGTCTGGTTTGGTGCCTCTGGATGCCCCTTCTTGCGGTGGCTGATCCTTTGGCAATGGTGGCGGCTTACTGATTCTGACCATGCACCGTTTAGGCACTCCTTGTGTGCTGGTTGATAGGTATAAACCCCCTATCAGACTGGTATAGTCCGTTGTGTTAGAAAAGTAGTTTTAAATCAAGAGGGGGGGTGAATTGATTTTTGAAAGTTTTTCGCAATACACAGATTATCTAATCCGAAAATTAAGATTACTTATCAATTCACAAATCACAAAGCAATCAAACGGTTTAAGTGCGACAGCAGAAATTAAAGAGAGAAAGGTTAGGAAAGATTTCACCGGTAATTTTATACTTGGTTCACCCAATACCGGGCTACGTCCGGACTCCGGCCAAATTCCAGTTGGGTTCCACTAGAATAGATGTTTTACGAGACTCACCCTCTTACACCTATTCTAACTCTCCACCAAGAACCAAATTCCAGCTCTTGGAAACCTCTGCAACCAAATTCCAGCACGAGAGAAACCAGGTGCCCAAATTCCAGGCACCACACACAAGAACCAAATTCCAGCTCTTGCTTTAACCTTTCCACCAAGAACCAAATTCCAGTTCTTGGCAACTTTCTACAACAGCTGCAGAAAACTTGTACCCAAATTCCAGGTACAACACAATACAAAGTAATGAAAAAGAATTTACAAAGAAGAGACTTAGAAAGCTCAAACCGGATTACACCAATCCACGGTAAGTTTCTTCTTCAAGGATGCAAAGTGCCTCAAGAAAGATTTCAAAAGAAGTTCACAAAAACAGTTGTGTATCTTTCTTGAAAAATGCTAATAGTTGTTTGTATTGATTGCTTGAATTGTGTAAAAGCTGATATTCAATCTCTGTTTAAAAGTTTCAAGCAATTCTGTTTATAAAAGAGTATTTTCAAATCTGCTGCATTAATTAATCTGTTGAAAGTTTGTTTTAATCATGTTGAAATAGCCGTTATAATCTGTTAAAAGTCCTTTCAACCCATTAATGCATTCTTGATCTTTAACGAGAAAATGTTTTAGTTGATACAACCATGTTTATATCGGTTAAAACGTTTTACAAACATTTTCTAAGTATAAAACAATCGATTGAATCGCGTATTAATCGATTGATTTGTTTAAAAACCTCTTTATAAAACTTTCCAAGTTATTTTAGTCGATATAAAGTCGTTTTAATCGATTAAAAACCTGCACAGAATTTTTCTAAGTTGTTCTAATCGGTTGAAATACGTTTTAATCGATTGAAAAGATTTTCTAAGTTATTTTAATCGATTGAAATACGTTTTAATCGATTGAAACAGATCTGATCGGTCATAATTCAATTCTGATCGATCATATCCAACTCTGATCGGTCATAATCTCATTCTGATCGATCATCCTGACATCCAAAGTGATTTTAATCGATTGAAACGTGTTTTAATCGATTAAAATAATTCTAATCGCTCATATTTAAGATCTGATCGATTATATTGCATTCCGACCTATTACATTCGAATTCTAATCGGTCATAAAGAGTTTTAATCGATTAAAAGAAGTTTGTATCGATTAAAATATTGTAAAAACACTTTTTAAAACATTCTTAAGTGTTTTAAATTGATTCTTTCAAACCTGTATCAGTTAATAACTTGTTTAAGAAAATTCTTTGCCAAAATGCTTTTGTTTTTGATTTGTTTAAAACTATTTTTGAGGCATTTTGCAAAATGAATGAAGGAGCTTCATGCAGTGGAAAAGGTAAAGTGGTTTTACCTAAGCTTTCTGTTAAGACACACTAAGTCTTCAGCTCCATTCTTCTGAGTGACTTGTTTGACTGCTGCAGAGTTGACCCTTGACTTTATCTTTGACTTCATCAAATCAATGAGATCTTTGCTAGGATCACTTTCAGTCTCCCCTATTTGATGAAGACAAACACCATTTTGAAAAAACAATCTCTGCAAAATAAGTCACTTGATAATGCGGTTAGGTGAGAAATATAAGAATGTAATAAAGTTTTGTTTCTCCCCTAAAACTTATTTCTCCCCCTAAAATGTTGCACTTAAATTTATCTTAAAGTG